CCATAGATAAAATAAACACAAAACGTATATATAGTAAAATAATAGAAAAGATTACCATTCCCCCTATATCTATAAAAAGATGGGAAAGGATAATGCATGTAGGTATTAGCTGGGATAAAATATTCACTTACATTCATAAAGTAACAATTGATGTTAAATTAAGGTGGTTTAACTACCGATTCTTAACRAATACTTTGTACGTAAACAAGCACTTATTAATAGATTTAAAATTATAGATTCTCCACTATGTTCATATTGCAAGACTGAAATAGAAACTATAGAACATTTGTTTGTTAATTGCTGTATTTCRTCTAAACTGTATAGGGAAATCGTTATCTGGTTGAAGGAATACGATATCGATTTCCCAAAACTAGAATTTCCATTATTATTGTTAGGATCACAGAGTATAAATGAGAACAAAAATGAAATTTTGTTTGATTTTATCCTCTTGTTATATAAGGCATATGTTTACAATAACAGAAGTAATATCAGCCACTTAACAATCCAAGGCTTTAAGGCTTACGTTAAACTGTATGAACRCATTGAATATTACATAGCAAAAAAACGCAATCGCCTGCTCTTTCATTTTGATAAATTTAACATTCTTGTACAAAGCTCATCATTGATATTATAATTATATATATATATTGTTTTGAATATCAACCTGTAATCAACTGTTTATATTATCTAATAAAGGCATTAAATTAAAAAAAAAGTGCCATTTTTTGCAAACTCCCACTTTACCAGACACTATGGTATTTCATGTAGTACAACATACCTTCTCAAGCAGCCATGGTARAGCCCCACAATGATCAAGATGAAAACTGGATTAAGAAAACATTCATCGTTAAACAAAATCAATGAACAACACACAATACAAATTCGTAAAAAATATATATATTATATAAATTTTGATATATGACATGTACCCTGATAGGCTGACAACTGTGTTTATTTCAGAGGACAGAGACACATTTTTTGCTTTTCACTCGAACACAATTATACTGCAATGACTTTACAAACATTTAGGTGTAACTTGATATCTTTATTCGTCAAAGCACATCTGGCTTTTCTAACTCAAGCAGTAAAGGCACTTACTGACTAATAAGAAGAAGGTCTATCTCAGCTGTGTCTATCTCRTCAAGAAATGGTAATGACTCAACTCCTGTCATACCAGGATGAATACCACAATCAAGCTGTTCAAATGCAAACAGAGCAGGTTAGTATATATTAAAACTATATCACAAAACCAGTATTTTTATAGGTTACTGAACTGCAGTCTGTCTATATTCATGTTAGACGATGGTTTTCCATGTCAAAAATAATATTTATTGTGCCAAGAATGTAAGGCAGTTCCACTTTTTTCWTTTTTCAAGTTTTTTTTTTCTTCTAAATGTTATCATCACAATTCCAGAAAAACGACACAAATTTATGATSTAGAGATTTATGGTGGGATCATAATACATGTACTCAAAAACATGTAGTCTTTGGAGTGACAATCAAATTTACTTATTAGGCAGATGCTACGAGAACAACACATACAAATATACATCTACTTACTAGAACTTTTTTTCCTTTGAATTCAAGAAAATGGCATGATCTCCCAACTTCCTGACCAGAACCACTAAAAGCAAAGATGTTTTAATAACAGAATTTTGAAAATCAAAAATTGGCTTATATCTGAATTGCTTTGGTATGCTTATAATATAAGCASTTGTTTGAATCATTGTCTATGATTGTCTCAGTGTTTACAAAACAAAAACTCCAAAAACACTCAAGAAATCTTCGTGTTGGTCTATCACAAGATTATGTGTGATGAGCTCATATCAGATACTTTGTGATATTATAATGCTTTATACAGATACATAAGCTGAGTATCAGGCTCTCAGGGGGGAAATATGGAAGGGGAAGTATGGGGCCCCAGGCCCTCTTGAAGGCCTGATACTCAGGTTTACAGAAACAAGGACCCCAAAGCATTTCTTTTACTTTTGAGAGGCCATATCTTGTACAGTAAACTCTTTGTTTTTTCMAAGYCATTCTTTGTTTTCACTATCAATCAGTAATTAATTAAATGMAATACTCAAGCAGGCTTTTTTTCTGTCCCCTCATGAGTTCRTCACGGATGTTTTCTGCAATATTTAGTGAGTTTTGAAGAATGTTTCAGAGCCTGGCGGCCTGTGGCCTTTCTTTGGGACTTTTGTGTGATTTATTTATCCCTCTTATTTATCCCTGCGAGCAAGATTTTGGACTGGAGTGGGTTTTTTCGTAGAAAAAAATTGATCAAGTTGAATCATTTAGAGGCACTTTCATCCATCTTGGAGGAACTTCATTCAACAAAGGCTTTTCTCATCAGTATCTATTGTTCATTCCTCCAACATGGTCGCAAGTCTTTTATCTTTTGAATCTCATGGAATGCTTGAAAATTATGAATTACATTAGGTGTGTTCACACTAGACGTTTTAAGTAGGTCTAAAGTATACTTAGGTCATACTTGAACCATTATTGTGTGTGAACGGTTTTAATCTGAGTTGTGATCAGCTCAAGTAACATACTTAGTCGCTATAGTTACGTCGCTTTTTCAAAAGAGCCGAAGTACGTTTTCAAGTAAAGGCTGCACTATACTTAATGCATGCTTACGCCAGGAACGTCAATCATGAACTTGTCAAACACGTCATTCTCTTCGATTAAYGTCTGTGACATTCGCGATTGAAGAAATCGAGACTTCACTGAAGCTRTGGATYGTCAAAACCCAGTGTTTAATTCTCAAGGCTATGCGAATCAAAGCTATGCGAATCAAAGCTATGCGAATCAAAYGTAAGTTCAATTTAATCCTACGGAATTTGCAACAGATGAAGTGCTCTCGTTTGATCAGGTTGTTATTTCCGACTGTCTTCGTTATCGTAGCTAACCGCATTTGTATTCTATATCAGAAATACTCCAAATATCCCTTTAAGCTCAGTGCCACCGCAATCACAAGTTCAAGGACCTGGATTTTGGTTCCCAAGTCAGTTTACAAGTCAGTGGCAACGCTCGCCAATGCCGACGTTCGAAACTCAAGCCGGGTTTCATTTCGCGCCGTCACCACAAAGTTCCACGTGCGCCACAACAACAGACTGTGAACAACCAGAAAAAACAACTAGCAAGAAAACTAAGGCTGCAGACTGGACGGAACCAGAAACAATGGAGTTAATTGAAGCTTGGGGTGCAAGGTACAGTAAGCTAAAGAGTGCATCCAACAAGGAGAAGGCGAAAATATGGAATGAAATTTATTCAAAGTATAAACAAATGTGGGACTCGACAACAAGATCATTGCCTCAAGTCAAAAAGCGCATCCAAAATTTAGAGAATACTTTTAAAACCTTGAAACAGAAATCACGGAGTACAGGCGAAGAAGGCTTAAAAAAGATCAAAGCAAATTTCCCATATTTTGACCAAATGGATGACGTAATGGGTAATAGGGATAGCATTGACCCATCAAAGATGGAGCTAGAGGGAAGCAGAGTTTTCGGAGACCCGAAGTCCAAATCGACCTCCCCTACACCACCTGACACGTACACCCTCACTTTTATCAGAATCGGAGTCCACTGAATGTGACGATTCAACGGCCAGCACAGGATCTGATGGATCCCAAGAAATGGATGGAAAACGAAAGATTGAGGTGACATCAGCGTCATGCAAACAGAAAAAAGCCCCAAAACGGAAGAGAAGGGAAGATGAAGCCAGAACAAGTGCAAGTGAGTGGCAAGAGAAATTTACTAAAATGTGGGAGAAAAGCCAGAAATAAGATAACGCTAGATTCGAGAAGTGCTTATTGCTGGAAAAAAATAATAAATAATAATAAAAAATAATAATAAAGAACAAAAAAAAGAAAAAAAACCTTATGATATCATTTGGGATTTGAACCGTGACCTCTTGATAACTAAGCCTGTGTTTTAACCACTAGGCCACTATGTCAAACTTCATACAATCGTGGCTAAGACTGGGATTTATTTCGCCGTGTCACTCGCCATGCTTATCAACACAGCCGAAGTTAAATAGGATTGTGACGAAAAAATTTCATAAATCGTTTACTTAAAATTGTAATTGTTAAAGTAATTATCAGAATTATAATTTGATTCATCGTACATCTATCGTTCTGTATCAATCTCCGAGTTATGCTGCCATTGGCTGCTTGATTAAGAACTGATTTCAGCAACTCAATCAAAAAATTAAGTGGTAAGAAAATTTTGTGACRAAATATTTACAAAGACAATGACAAAGACCATAATGATGACAAAGGAAATCTTGCAACAAATTTTAGCATGCACGCCACTTCCTTTGAAGTCCATTTATGAACAGGCCAAGGATGTTAACTCTCCAGGTCTACTGGTAAAAGAGTAAAGGTTTTTGCGGGAGTACATGACAAACGCAAAAATCTGTTTGTATTTACAACGCTGACATTGCCCCTTTAAGCAAATTTAAGGGATTTAGACCACATACCATTTTAGACCATATTTGCTTGATAACTTTATCAAGCTGTTGTTGTACGTCTTGTATTATCTGACAGCCAGAATTTCTATTCAAGCCAGGTTATATTATGTTTTAAAATAATTGCTTGAAAACTAAGCAGAAATTGGGTAAGACTAGCAAGGTATTTTAATACTCACAGAGGTGTTATTCGCAGTAAATCACTCTCTTCGGGAGGAATGGTTCCTTCAGCTTTTCTTTTCACTGAGGCCGCCATCTTGGAACTAAGCCTACCCACGTGSCTTTGGAACCACAGGGAACCCGTGCTAGATATATAGCTTTGACGTTTCAAAATTTTTCAAGGTACTGTTGGTTAAGATTGTTGGTAATAGATTGTTGTAAATCTGACACTAATTGCTATGAAGGATTCTTGTATTTATGCAACATCTACAATCGCCAAAATTAGTTGAAACGACTTGGACGACTTGAAATGACTGAAATTGTTGCTGAAGCGGTTAAGACAAAATCCATGGTACTATATTTAAATTTCAGTGTTGCTGTAGTTATGATGTATGATGATTACGCTATCAAAGTATGTTCACTCACAAGCATCAAGGCAATACTGATATAGCGAGTCGGGGTAAAAAGKTTATATAAGGTCATATAAAAGAAGGGATTTGTTTGAGAAATGTCTAAGCTTTTCATTTAGTTAAATATTTGCGTTTCACAAATTCTTCCCTCAATAATTCACATTTAATCTGAAAAAAAAGAGTTGATCTTGTAACTAGTAAAATATGAACAAAAGTTATGATTATGTACTATAGAAATTCGAAATTTATTTATATAAGTCTCCGTGGCGCAATCGGTTAGCGCGTTCGGCTGTTAACCGAAAGGTTGGTGGTTCAAGCCCACCCGGGGACGATCTCTTTTTTTTTCTTTTTCTTTTTAATAAAGTCCAGCTGGGGCCATTTTTCYCTACTTATTTATAGGTAGTAAAATTTTTTATCTTATAATTATCTATGAAGTACCTATATTTCTCTATTTCGTAAAGTTKATATTTTCACTAGTGAAAGGGATTTTCCGGGGCCAAATGGTAAACCCTACGGTGGTGTTTGTTTTTACGTCCGATCAAGCGTGAATTTCTCTCCACGTTTAGATCTATCCATTAATGACTTAGAGACTTTATGTATGGAAATTCGAAAACCTGACTCTAAGGATTTTTAACAGAATTGCGACCTGGTATAGACCACCAGACTCAACTATATACACTAGACGCATAACTGCGTAAACTCGGGGTTCTTGTTGATAAAATAGTAGTGAATTTGGTAAGGCTACACTTGCGTGTTTGCCATATATTTACTATATAATTCGCTTTTGATAAGATAGGTAGCTACTAGTTTGATAGACAATTCATGATATGCAGTAATATAAATATCACAATTCCGAAGTTGATAGTTATGCAACTCAGAAGATCTGGGAATATTGCGACAGATTCGATGATAAACAACCCGTCTTATCTTTCTACTTTTGTTATGTAAGCGTCTTTGAAAATCGTTTTGGTATCCTACTGGGCTCACGACTACGACTACAACGTACATGTCGATAATTATAATAAACAAACCTTGAATATTAACGAGATCTTGTAGTGCTTGTAATGTTTATTGTAACTTCTGCATCATTTTATACACCATAAACAGTCATACAAATAGTTTTGATGAAGTGACAATATTTTGAGTGTAGTTATCGAAGAATTGGACTGTATTGGACCCTAATAAATAATGTTAATATCAATACTATCAAACTTTTAAAGCAAAAATTATTTCCTTGAATGAAAAATAATAACAGAAGCAATGTACTTAGCATTCAGGAAGAATTGATAGTCTTTGTCAAGCTCTCTTTCAGGCTTTGATAGTCACATGGCAGGCTATAAAGACAGAGTCTTTTATCGTCTCTGCTAAATAAAATAGTTGCAATCGTCGTTTTTTCCTCAGTAGAATTCTGTTCGCATTACTTAGAGAAGTCCTTTGTAGTTTCAAGAGCCTGTAGAATCACTTAGTATAGAGTTCGCTTTGATAAGATTGGTAGCTTGTTTAATAGATACACGATAAATTTCACGATAAATTCGCGGTATCTCTCAAAATGTCCTTTCGAAAAACGCTCGACATCTTTTAGTGTGGCYATACCGCGAATGGTGTGYKGATTTRTAAGAGATTTGAGCGTGTTTGAAGTTGAATCCATGTCTTCCATCTCGTATAAAGACGACACCTCGACAACACATGTTGTGAATGTCACGTGATTCGTACCCAGTGCATTCTAGTTTGGTCGAGACAATTTGTTTACCAAATACGACTACCATGACAAAGAAGGCCGAAACCTAAACTCGCGGTTCCTGTGGAACCCCGAGTAATAAATTTGACTTATTTGAAACAGACTTGATGCGGAAAATATTGAGTATCATTTGTTGGGTGACATAAACTGTAATGTAGGGACCAGTGCAGTGGCGGATCCAGGGGTGGTTCCATGGGTTCCTAGGAACCCCCCTCGAGCATAAATGAAAAATAAAATAAATGATAAATGAAATAAAACTAGACGCCCCTGGGGCGTGAAGTCGGACTACCTATTTTTGAAAATTGATAGACACGAGTGAAAAGATTATGATGTTATATTCTGTTTAATCATATGATTATATTATGAATGCAAATGAAACTTGAGAAAAACAGGAGGGTATTACATAAAATATAAAAATTAGATTAAATTATATATTTCTTAATTTTTCTCCAAAATAGCCGAACTCACGGCCTAATAAGAGCGTCTAGTTCAAAATATCCAAACTCTCTTGAGACTAAAATAAACTTGACCTAAAAGGTCATGTAATTAATATATAGCAATGAACGTTTTAAAAGAGTCATTGATTTCACTGATAAAATCAAACGTGCTATGCTTAGACGTGACGCTAAGTGATAACGTTGACCTCTCAGGCCAAGAAAATACTTTACAAAGTAAATGATACCTATAAAATCATTAATCATGTTTCTTCTTGTTCTAATTTGAAATCTTTGCCCACACAACACTTCCTAACGATAAAAAGGCCATTGATTTAGTTTCGAAAGCATACTACTCGAAGCACCAAGCGATCTGCACATGCGCATACTAGACAGATGCATTCCAATGAGATCACAGATACCACATTTGTAAACGAATAGTTTTTTTGTCATATAAAAGCCAAGTAGCATATAACATTTACCAACGATATTCGTACATCAATACGCTTGAGCTTCCGGTCATGTAATAACACAGCAAACCCAACAGTTAATTATTAAATTCTTAACTTCCGGTGGTCCAAACGCGACATAATGCATAGATAGATAGATAGATAGATAGATAGATAGATAGATAGATAGATAGATAGATAGATAGATAGATAGATAGATAGATAGATAGATAGATAGATTGATTGATAGATTGATAGATAGGCTAAAAGGTAAAACTAAAGTCGACCTAGCCTTCGGCTAGTCCTACTAATGAAAACGCATCGTACAATGAAGATATTCACACTCTGGGTGATTGATTTGCGACCAGGCCTGCATATGAATTCGCCAAGGTTGTAAGCCAGTGAGCCCGTGCATTTTTGTKAAGCGGTCATATTTGAAAGTGTAAATAAAGAAAAGGGAAAACCCGCAGCTCGCCTTTCATTCAGACAAACAGTACAAGTCGTGCTGAATTTATTTACATAACTAAACAAAATGATTATAGAAATAAACCTTTAAGTATCGGAATGCTCATATGAAACATTCTCCACCTTAAATACACATGTGTTTTTCAGAAGGGAACTTTTTTCACGATGGAATTTTGTTTTGAGTCGTTTCGACATAAACAGTCGCTATCAAGACGTTACACTAAAAACCCCAGTCACCGTTCTAGCTCCGCGTTGTATAGTAAGTTCAAAGCTAGTAAATGTGTAACTGACCTGTCGAGCACGCTTGCGGCTTATTGCCGAAAATGCGACAAAGGATGAACTACGACAGTTGATTTGTACCAAAAATATTAAACGCTATGGAGATAAGCTGCTCTAGCTCTTCCAGGTAATGTTGTAGATAACTCAAAGCTTAGAGGAAACAAGAGCTAAGAAGAAGGATTTGCAATGTCTCCTCCAAAGATACTTTGGACTTGAACGTCGCTTCAACGACCTTCTGAAGTCTTCTTGAAGTCGGCCATTGCTTCGTATGCAATGGAGAACCCGCGAAGAAAACAGAACAATTACTTTTATCAGGGAGGGGAGTGTCGTGGTCTTAAAGAAAAAATCATTTGCTATTTCATTTTTAAGATAAAATTCTATTTCTATAACGATAAATATTTGATTGACATTTAAAAGCTATTTTATAAAGATTTTCACTTTCTCTTTGCGTTTTAGCTTCGATTTTTCGGATAGAATAAAATGAAAGGCAGCCTACTCCACTGGGTCGAGTTTTGCTGAGCAAATTCCTCCCGTCGGAGGGTTATGTTTACAACATAAGCTTGTCAGCTTTGCGCTGATTGGCTAGTCGCATTTTCTCAAATCACCCAGCTACATTTGCTACAGTTCGAGAGGCACAGTAAAAAAGTGCGTTTTAGGAAAATGCGAAAACAAAGAGGAACCTAGGCTCAGTCTCCAGCCGTCGGGATTTCGTGCGCCCGCGATACTCTCTCACCTGACGGCTGGGCGCATGGGGTTCGAAACGTGTCGTGCATGTCCGTGACGTTTTTGTGTAATTAGCATATTATGACGTAACGGTGAATTTTTCAGTGAACGGAAGTGAAATATCTGACAACAGCCGTAAAGGTTTTGCTACAAGGCGGGAAATTATGTGAAATGAAAACTTAACACGAAGTAGCGATATAATGTAATAGTTAGCGCTTTAAAAAAGAGAAAGGAATGGAAATTACCCCAAGTAAAACATGTGCAGGGTTTAATAATCCAAATGGATGTATTATCTGCCAGAAAAACGAGCAAAATACACTAGTGGCGCTGTTTGAAAAATAAGAGATTTGCCCGAGCCAGTATAGGAAGAATAACAAGGACATCTTTTCCAAGAACAATCTCTTTAAGAGCCTTTTGCTGTATTTCTTTAAATTCGTCCAAGCTAAACGACTTCAGAGCCTTCAAACAAGCACTTTCAAAGAGAATCTCAAACGACGAATTGTACGCCATTTTGTTACACTGCTGCCTGCTAATTTAATAATGATATGCCCCTCAAAATATCGGGGGCCACTCGCTGATTGGTCAAGACTGACAATAGCGAACCTCATGCG